TTTTTTTTTTTTTTTTTTTTTTTTTTTTTTTTTTTTTTTTTTTTTTTTTTTTTTTTTTTTTTTTTTTAAAAGGATTTGCAGCCTAGCTTTTTAATTCTGTGCTTGCTTCTGCTGTATGCAGATCAGGCCATGCAATTAGTTTGTATGAGACTGCCCAGAGTATTCATTCATATATAGCTTGAGTCAAATAATAAATGCTCCTGGCACTGTAATGCTTGAGTCAGCATGCACATTTTTTAAGTAGATTTTAGTTGCTTGAGTAATACAGATCTTAGTGATGGATCGTAAGTCTCAAGTCTAAATGTCGTAACTTCTGTGGAAAAATAAATGATGTGCTTGCATGTGAGAAGGGGAGAGATTTTGGTCTATCACTCAAAGCTTCTTGCTGAGAAGCTGAAGGATATACTGTATGATAGACTACCAAGAGTTGTCTTTCTCTGTCTATGTATAGAAATACGTAATTAAAATTGCTCCATAAATACAGTCTGTGTGCTAAAGTTTTGTTAAGTGATGACAAATGTAAATATAATTGCAGATACTTATGTGCTGGAAAAGTTTAACTGATACTGTCTTTGTCCTGGACAGGCTGTGCTTTGCTGCCTGCCAGCTCACCAGTGCATCGACCATCACATCGTGAGGTTACCAGTTTTTCTTGCTACAGTGACTCAGAGGATGAATATGTAATTATTGGTAAGACTTTAAATTATAACTGCAGAAACAGATTTATTGTTCAGCTGAATCTATTCCATTGCTTAGGAATTTCATTGACTTACTAGCAGTTACTGGAGGAGAAATAACATGAGAAAATGGAAACAGCAATGTATACATGGTTCCTTATTAAAACACGTGCAGAAAAACCAGACTGGTGCAGGATTTCCTTTCTAGCAAAGAATATCTTTGCTGATTTTAGAGGCTGGCCGTGGCTGGATAACCAAGTGACCAAGTAACCACTCTGTCACTCCCCCTCCTCCACTAGAAAGGGGATGGAAAATACAAGGAAAGGCTTGTAGGTCGAGATCAGGACAAGGGAGAGATCACTCACCAATTACTGTCACAGGCAAAACAGAGTCAACTTGGGAAAATTAGTTTAATTTATTGCCAATCAAATCAGAGTAGGGTAATGAGAAATAAAACCAAATTTCAAAGTACCTTCCCCCACCCCTCCCTTCTTCCTGGGATAAACTTAACTCCCAATTTGTCTATCTCCTGTGGCTTCCCATGGGTCCTGCCAAGAGCCTGCTCCAGCATGGGCTTTCCTCTGGGTTGCAGTCTCATTTGGGCATCCATCTGCCCCAAAGTGGGCTCCTCCACAGGCTGCAGGTGGATCTCTGCTCCCCCATGGACTTCCATGGGCTGCACCACGGGCTGCAGGGGAATCTCTCCTCTAAGTTCTGGAGGACCTCCCATTCCTCCTTCTTCACTGACCTTGGTGTCTGCAGAACTGTTCCTCTCACATTCTCACACCTCTCTGCAGCTACAACTGTATAGGTGTTTTTTCTTTTCTCCCTATTTTAACTCTATTATGCCAGAGATGCTGCCACTATGGCTCATGGGCTCAAGCTTGCCCAGTAGTGGGTTCATCTTGGAGCTGGCTGGCATTAGCTCTGTCAGACATAGGGGAAAGATCTGGCAGCTTCTCACAGAAGCCATCTCAGTAGCCCCCCTCTACCAAAATTTTGCCATGCAAACCCAACGCAGGGACTGAAGTTACAACAAGGATTAAACGCAAGCAATATAGGTGAGAAAAGTATGAAACTGGCCCAGCCTCAGCCACCTTTAGCAACATTGTTTGAGAGAATTTAGGACATGATCATTTCCTGATTAAACAGGTTGACTAGGTTTTAGGCAGCCCTCCCTCTGCTTCAGGACTTGAGCAGAGTGTCTCTGTTCCCTTATAATCACGTCCTTTGCTTCTCTTCAGGACATCCTGATTTTTCTTTGGTTAACCTCTGGGTTTAACACATATAGAAATAGAAACCCTTAAAAGAGTCTGTGCAACATTTAACCTCTGTTTTATTTTTTTTTCTGATAATAAATAGGGTTTTTATTGCTCTCCTTGGTTTTATAGATTTATTTTTTCACCTCTTCTTTCCCTGATCAAAGAATGAAGAACTAGCTCCCACAACTCTGTTCCTGGTAGCAAGAGTTACTTTGAGATGTATGAATGGGAAAATGTTTGTCTTGAGAGAAATAAGAATGGTCAAAACTAATGCTACCAATACCTTGCTGGCATAAGGATATTGTGTCCATATAGACATAGTGAAGAAGTGTGTGGTTTAATTCCATTCATCTCACCTGTTACTAACTTGCTTATAGCATTAGCTGGTAAGTTTGTGATCAGTGTCCCCAAGCATCTGTCAGTGTCCAAGAAAATTAGTGTGCGCTCCCTTGGCTCTGTATGTTATTACTTACTTCAAATGCCTTCTGGCTGGACCTCAAGCAGCAGGCACTTTCTGTCCTTAGGACTTCTGCTCTGGAAGGGAGGCTGATGGTGATGTTAGGATGCATAGGTGTTAGGGAATCTTCTTCATTTACCTATGTCAGAGATATACAGAGGAGATAAGACTCCTTATGCCTGTTTTACTGCTAGGATTGAGGTGATTTCCTGCATCCAGCAGGGGTGTTGTAAAGATGAATATATTTTAAACTGACACTGTGATGACACAGAAGGTAGATATAAAACATTGCTGAGTAACAGAAGCTTTGTTTCTTAGATGGCTTGATAATGTTTTCTCCTTTATCACAGAACTTGAAGACCTTGAAAATCTGTCTGTCACTCCAGATAAAAGGTATGTATCTCCAACACAATCCTCAGCGGCACTACCTTTTCTGCTGGAGCAGCTTTCTAGTGGTTCTTCTGGCTGGGGCACGGAAAGGTGTGGGAGTGGTAAAGTTGGTCCTTCCAAAGAAGGGGAAGGAATGCTGCTTGACAGCGAATGTCTCTGGTGCTTGGCTTAGCAGAGTGTTTCTCTGGTCCCTGAGTCTGCCTGGAGGCTGGTGTCTGTGGCTCTTCGAGGGCCTGGGTGTATCAAAGAAAGAGGGTAAAAGTGAAAGGAAGGGAGAAAACCTTTCAGAGAGGTAGAAGAGGCACTGGAGATGCTGATGACATACTGCTATTTTTCACTGACTGTATTCCTTAACTTTCAGATCACCTTTTGAACCAGGCAGCAATTCTGCTGAAGCGACAGCCCAGGAGTTGTGCAGAGCTTTCAGAAAATACTGGTTGCAGACAGACTCTGTAGTTCAGCTGTCTGGTTGCCTGAGCTCATCTAAGCAGAGAGTGAGTCTGATCTGAAAACAACAAGCTCTTTATTCAGTTCCCCAAATAATCATTGTCTCACTGCAGCTGCTTCACTGCTATCAAAAGGGGGAAGCTAAACTAAAACAAAAACAAAACAAATATAGATGAGGGATTACAGTTTATTACTTCCCTTTAGATAAATTTTTAAAATATGTCTTCTTTCTCTGGCAATTTTCAATACATTTAAGACATGGAGTTATGAACAATTAGAATGTTCTTTCTTCTGTGACTGATATGAGGGAGTTTAACTAAGGGGGGACTACATGCAGGTGAAAACTGAACTTTAAAATCCTGGAGTATAAAGGGAGATAAACATCTCCCATAGCATTTAATGTGTGTCCAGCTGATGGGCTGGTTATATTCACAAGTTTATCTTTCCCAATAGTCTGTGCTGAAAGAAGAGATTCCAAAAGAACTTGAGTCCAGTTTGAATCTGGCTGAAGAAATAAAGATCCTATCCAAATTAAGAGGATCTTCTGGCTGGTCCCCACCAAGATCGCAGATTATATTTAATATTCATCCCTCAGTCAAGTAAGTTTTGAGAGATCTGAGCATTGTCATTTAGTATAGCAGGGGGGAAGTTGATGGAAGGAGCTTAGGAGATTAAAAGATCCTAAGGTTATAGCTAGTGCATGGCACAACCTTCTGCAGTATCTGTCACCAGCCTCACTAGGAAGTAGATGCCATCTTTTTCCCCTCTGTTGCCATGTCCTAATTAACATGACATGTGCACTTCTGCATGTGATAATGCATGTACCATTTGGTGTTACAGTGGCAGCACACTTAGATGGCTCATAAAATTTCATTTTGTGACACTACCCGAAGATTATTCTTGACTTTCCCCACTTTCCTGCTAATATTTTATGGATAGTAGGTTTTCAGAAAGTGGGGAGGAAAACATGTCATGTTTGGGGAAAGTGCTGTCTCACACTCTCTGTGTGCTGTAAAGTGCACACAGAAGGCAAACTGGCTAATCCTCATGTTGCTGCAGGTTTGGTTGCTTTTTCAATTGCAGATGGGGACTTTCCCATCTCCCAACCTCTTGATATTGATGCCCTCTTAAGAAATGTAAAATAATTTAATTTTTTCAGCAAGCTGTATTTGATTATATATTCTCCACAGAAGAGCTTAGAGTCCCCCACTAAAATAATAATCTGCATCTCCTTACACAACCTCCCTTCTTCATGTGGAGGAGTAGGACTCAGCTCCTAAGTTGGGACATTTTCATTGGTGCCAGTGTAGCTCTTTTGTACTTTGGAAGAATATTAACTAAAACTGTGTTCTGAACGCTGAAAGGCCTAACTATTTGCCTCTGTACACAGGAGAGATGCAGTGGTGGCTGCTCAAAACTTCACGTGTGTTGGCTGCGGAACCCCGATAGAAAGCAGTAAGTATTACCAAAAGCAGAAAAAACCCCTACTAAGTGCATTACTAGTAATCAGACCATGATCTTCAACAACCCAGATGTGCCACAATTGTAAAATTATCTGAGCTAGAAGAAAAATCTAATTGTTGGATGTTCCCGCAATAGTAAAACAGACAGTGGTATCTTTCCAGTGTCTGGAATTTCTCATTGTGGACTGAATACAATACTTGATAGATGTCCTTCTCATACACAATAAAAATTCATGACAGTCAACAACAAAACAGGAAAACCCATTACAAAAATCAAGCTTCCAGGCTGGAAAGTGCTGGTTTTACGTCTTCCAATTGTTTCTTTCCATAATTCTTTGCCAGAGACTTTATGCAAGCTTAAGGAATGTGTGGTTTTGCTCTTTCGGGGTGTCTCTTTAATTTTTTATTTGCGATACTTTGTGAGAACTGCTTGAAAGCACAATTATTTACAGATCTGACAAACAGACCTTACCTAAGAAATCTTTGAAGTGGCTACCAAGACTTGTTCTGGATCAGCTCACAAGAGCAGCTTTTGGCCTGTAAAGTATCAACAATCCGTGACAGCACATTAACTCAAGCAAGCCTGAGATGCTGTAATAGCTGGCAAAACGCCACAAAACTCTTTATGTGAGAATGTACTATGCAAATGTGACTCCAAAATGGGTGTAAATTTTTTGTTCTGTATTTTAACTTGTGTCTCTTTTGTGGGTTTGAAACAATATTTAAAACAATAGTTTCTTTAAGATCTCATGGTGGTAATTATAATGAGTTCAACAAATGTGGACATGAGGAAAGCTTTCTGTTCTAATGCAAAGTGCAGAGCTTGTGCATGTGTTTACCGCGATAATAAAATGCCCTACCTTAAAAAATTCCCTTCCCCTCACTCTAGTAGATTGGAGTTATTAAGACAGAATAGGCATACAAACAGGAGCTATGTCCCATAAAATTTCTAAATCTAAATTTCCCATTTTAGAAATAGTCACAGTTTCATTCCTGTCTACTTGCAGAATATATCAGGAGACTCCGCTATTGTGACTACCTGGGGAAATACTTTTGTGACTGCTGCCACAGCTATGCCCAGTCTTGTATTCCTGCCCGAATACTTTCAAAATGGGACTTCAAAAAATACTATGTATGC